ATTAACGAGAATGCCGATAGTGTAGAGAAACGGCAGAAACGCATAAATAGTACCTATGACGAGTTGCAGGATACAGCGCAGAAACGACATGCGTTACTCGAGGACTCCATACACCTGTTCGGATTCTATCGCGAGTGTGATGATTTCGAGAAGTGGATGAAAGATAAGGAGCGCATTATTAATTCCGATGACGGCGAAGGTGTGGAGAACGCAAAACGAAAGTTCGAAAAGTTCCTAACCGACCTATCGGCGGCATCAAAACGCATTGAGGAAATCGATGGTGCTGTCGACAACTTCCGTCGACAAGGGCATTCACAGCTGGACAAAATAATTGCACGTCAACGGCAGATACATCAAATTTGGCAACGTCTGAATAACGCAAAAGCGCAACGTGAAAAGAGCCTGGAAGGAGCATCAAGTGTGGATCTCTTCAATCGCACATGTGATGAGGCTAAGGTTTGGATGAACGAGAAAATGCTGCAACTGGACACGGCTGTAATCAGCCCAGATCTAAAAAACGGTGCAAGCGCTACAGCGACGACATCAGAATTTAGAGCGGGAATTGGCACCCGTTGAGGAGAAGGTGAATCGTGTGAACTACCTAGGAAATTCGTAAGTTAATTAAATATGCAAATTCTATTTTATACTGACTTTTCGCTTAATTTGATATTTAGGGTAAAGAATGCATATCCGGCTGAGCGAAACAATGTAACAGAGCGACAACAGGAGGTGTTGGATATGTGGAAGCAAGTCCACGGTAAAGGCAGTGAACTGCGAGCGCGCATCGAAAGTGCAGTTGGACAGCAAATTTTCAACAACAGGTAATTGGATATGGACTTTGGATTACTTTGGATCTGAATAGAAACTTTTTCTTTCTCCAATGTGCTGGAATAAAATTAATTTTCCTCCTCAATCTAATTTTTTTATTTGTTATTCAGTGCAAAGACGTTGCTTGCCTGGATAGACTCGGTGAAAGATCAACTAAATGCAGACGAATCTGCGCGTGATGTTGAAACAGCCAACAATCTTTTGAAAAAACATAACGATCTGGGCGACGATATCAAGGCTCACGACAACGAATTTGTTGAGGTCATAGGTTTGGGCAAGCAACTGTCCGATGGAAAACCCAATATGGAGGAAACCGTTAAAATCATTGAACGTCTAAAGGCCGAACAAGACGCTATTCACCGCGGTTGGGTGGAGAAACAGAAATGGCTGCAACAATGCGTCGAATTGCAAATATTCAACAGAGAAGCAGACAAAATCGATGCCACTACAAAAAGTCACGAAGCTTTTCTTGAATATAACAATTTGGGTGTAAGTTTATGCCTAAAAGTGCAGACAAATTCTGATTTATCAATTAAAATATGCATTCACTATCTTTTTAGAACTCCCTCGACGAAGTTGAAGCTATACTTAAGCGACACCTTGACTTTGAGAAAAGCCTTATGGCTCAGGATAAAATTCTCAAAGGTTTTTCTGACAATGCCGATAAATTAATTGGCAATGACCACTATGATAAAAAATAGTAAGCCCTCCAACTTTATACTTAAACAAAAGCATACCTAAAACAATTATTTTCATAAACTTTTCTCAGCATTGACGATAGGCGCAATCAAGTTCTAGGCAAGAGGAAAGCAGTGGAAGATCGTGCTTTCGAGCGCAAACGCTCCCTTCAAGCTTCCAAAGATTTCCACAAATTCGCTGCGGAAGCTGACGATCTTGCCGTGTGGTTAAGCGATAAAACCAAAATAGCCGGCGATGAGAGTTACCGAGATCTTACCAATTTGCCGCGCAAGCTGCAGAAACACAAAGCTTTCGAGCGCGAGTTACGCGCAAATGAGGGTCAATTGCGTAACGTCAACAAGGAGGGGCAGGCATTGATAGCGACGAATAATCGTGTGCCTGCGGTGGAGAGGAGAATGGTCGACTTGAACCAAAAGTGGAGAGATCTATTGGCGCTGTCGGAAGACAAGGGACGCAAACTGGAACAGGCCGTGTCGCAGCGTGAACATAACCGCGCCATTGATGATGCCAAGCAAAAGGTGGCCGAGTTAGATGCTGCACTAAAAAGCAAGGACGTGGGCAACGATCTGCGCAGTTGCAAAGATTTGATAAACAAACATCAGTTACTCGAGTCTGAGATAACGGTGTGGGAACAAAAGATCGTCGAACTAGTTAGTACTGGTGACGAGATGGCACATGAAGGTCATTTCAATGCAGTGCACATCAAAGATGAAACAAAGGATATACAAAATCGCTTTAAGTTATTAAGCGACCCAGTACAAAAACGTCGCGAGGAACTCGAAGAGAGCTTGAATTACCACAAGTTCGTGTTTGAGCTAGATGCCGAATTCCAATGGATCAACGATCACATGCCAGCAGCTAAGTCTAAGGAGCTAGGTCAAAACCTCCACCAAGCGCAAACTCTCTCGAAGAAACATAAAAAACTCGAGGCCGAAGTTAAGGGGCATCAACCCATGATCAACAAAGCTTTGCAAGCCGGTCAAACGCTGATTGCACAAAATCATCCCGAAAAAGAGAATGTAAAAGCCTTGAGTGCTAAGTTGGAAGATGCCTGGGCTGACTTGGAGAGTAATTCAAATGATCGCAGTAAGAAGCTGGAGATGTCACTTAAGGCGCAGCAGTACTTGTCCGACGCCGGGGAGATTGAATCTTGGTTGGGTGAGAGAAGCAACGTCCTGCGCTCCACTGAGTATGGGCGAGATCGCGACTCTGCCGCCAAATTGCTGACCAAACACAAGACAATCGAACTGGAGCTGGACACGTACTCTGGTATTGTCACCGAAATGGGGCACAATTGTGCCGCCATGGTGGCCGCTGGACATCCGGACAGTAAAATTCTTGCTGCGAAACAACAACTTATCGAAAAAATGTTTAAATCACTACATAAATTGGCGCAACAACGACAAATGCGTTTGATGGAGAGCCTATACATGCACGAATACTTCCTGGAATCGGATGAGGTGGAACAATGGATTAAGGAACAAGAACAGGCAGCTTCATCTGAGGACTATGGACAAGACTATGAACATCTCCAATTGCTGCAAAATAAGTTCGATGATCTAAAACATCGCGTGGAAGTGGGTTCGGATCGAGTGAATCAGTGTGAAGTACTGGCCAAGAAACTTATCGACACCGAGAGTCCATACGCCACAGATGTGGAGAGGCGTCAAGAACAGTTGAGGTGAGTAGATCATCATTATGCTACACGCGTATTTCCATTTCCCCCCCAATTAATAAGAGATTTGTATGTACATTCATACTTATATATCTAATTCTAGGGAATCTTGGGAAAATCTGCTAAAATTACTCAACCAACGCGAGCAAAAGTTACACGCTGCCGGAGAAATACATCGTTTCCATCGCGACGTTGCTGAGGCGCTCTTCCGCATCCAAGACAAGAATGCAGCACTCTCCTCTGAGCTCGGAAGAGATTTGAACTCAGCACTAGCACTGTTGCGAAAACACGAAGGTTTCGAAAATGACCTCGTCGCCTTGGAAGCACAACTGCAGGTTTTGGTTGAGGATTCTGTACGCCTGCAATCGAAATATCCCTCGAACGCCGCTGCCATAGCTCAACAACAAGATAAGGTCGTAGCAGCTTGGAATGATTTGAAGGAGCGCTCCGGAGCACGCAGTGATCGCTTGGCCGCCAGTTCGGATCTGCAGTCCTTCCTTACAGATGTACGTGACATCATGTCGTGGTCGTCTCACCTGCGAGCCGCTCTGCAGGCTGAAGAGCATGTCAGCGATGCAGCTGGTGCGACTGCGTTGAAGATCCAGCATGACGCTATATACGGTGAAATCGAAGCACGAGAGGATAAATTCCGCTACTTGAATGAGTTAAGCGATTCGATGGTGCAAACTGGTCATTACGCTGCTGCAGAAGTAGAAGAAAAATGCGCGGCTATGTTGGACGAACGTCAGAAGTTACATGCGGCATGGAATAAGAAGAAGATCATGCTGGAACAGAAGATTGATCTGTTCTGTTTCTTACGCGACGCGAAACAAATTGACAATCTTTCAAGCTCGCAACAAGCCGCGCTCAGCAGCTCGGACTTTGGTCAGACAGTCGAAGACGTTCAAAACCAGATAAAGAAACATGACGAATTCGAACGTCTCATACAGACACAAGAAGAAAAAGTCGCTTTGTTGCAGGAGCATGGTCGCAAACTGATTGAACAGCGTCATTACGACAGTGCAAACATTCAAACAATCCTACAGGGCGTTTTGGCGCGCCGACAAAAAGTAAAGGATCTCTGCGCAGTGCGGCGATACAAATTGGAGGATGCGCTCCTATATGCCCAGTTTGTGCGCGATTGTGCCGAGGCTGAATCTTGGATAAACGAGAAAAAGAAGAAACTCGAAGCTGATGCAGCCAGTTATGCGGAAGTGTCCAATTTGGACGAGAAGATAAAGAAACTTCAAAAACATCAGGCCTTCCAAGCTGAGGTTGCTGCCAATCAAGGCCGTATCCAAGAAATACAAGAAACTGGTTTGATTCTATTGACCAAACAGCACGAGTCTTCGAAGGAAATCAAGCAAGCGGTTGAACGAGTTGTTGCTGCTTGGAAGAGTTTGCTCGAAGAATTGGACAATCGAGGACGTGGTCTCGAAGAAGCACAAGACATATTGGAATTCAATAATCAGCTGGACAAGATTTCCGCTTGGATCCGCGACAAGGAAATGATGATTCAGGCTAGTGACACTGGCCGAGATCTGGAGCACTGCAATGCTCTCACACGCAAACTGGATGACGTGGATTCAGATATGCGTGTTGACGATCAACGTGTTAAGCATATCAATAACTTAGCTGACAAGCTTATTAGTCAAGGTGAGGTGCCGGCTGAGACCAAGAATATTGACAAGCGTCGTCGCGACTTCAACAGCAAATGGCGTCAGCTGCAAGGTGCACTGAACGCCTACAGGGCTCTACTCGGCGAAGCCAATGAAATACACGTTTTCAACCGCGATGTCGACGACACAGCCGATCGTATTGCCGAGAAAGCACTGGCCATGAGTTCCGATGATACAGGACGTGATTTGGCAGCTGTGGAAACCCTAATTCGCCGTGAAGATGCCCTGGAGCGTGACATGTCAGCAGTGAAACAAAAGATCGGCGAGCATGAACTCGTTGCGCAGGCTCTACTGAAACGTTATCCCGACCGCGTCACAGACATCGAGCACAAAATAGACGAGCTGCGCACATCCTGGCAAAATCTACAAGATTTATCTGTAAAACGACGAGCTATTCTCAATGATGCCTATCTGGTACATAAATTTGTCTCTGACGTAAAGGAGCTGGAGCTCTGGGTTAACGACATGATAAAGAAAATGAATGCTGCTCAAGCGCCGATGACTATAAATGATTGCGAGACGCAATTGGAGCTACACCAGGAGCGTAAGGTGGAAATTGACGGGCGAGATAAGGCTTTCAAAGATTTAAAAGCTCATGGCGAAACACTCAGTGGCATGAAAAAACCAGCGAACGTGAAGCAATATTTGATGATACTTGAGGACTTGCATAGCACTCTGCACGAGGCGTGGAATGAACGCGCCAGGG